GCTGAATTTTGTCGAATGCTTTTTCTGTGTCTATTGAGAGGATCATATGGTCTTTGTTTTTACTTCTATTTATGTGATGAATTACATTTATAGATTTGCATATGTTGAACCATCCCTGCATCTCACACCCTAATTTTACCAGACCTACAAAAAGAAACTGGTGCCTATCTGGAAGAAATTATTCCACAACATTGAGAAGGAAGGAATCCTCCCCAACACATTTTATGAAACCAACGTCATGCTGATACCAAAACCAGGAAAGGATGCAACAAAAAAAAAAAGCTATAGACCAATATCCTTTATGAATATAGATGCAAAAATTCTCAGTGAAATCCTAGCAAACCGAATTCAGGTGCTTATCAAAAAAACGGTTCATCATGACCAAGTGGGCTTCATCCCAAAGATGCAGGGATGGTTCAACCTACTCAAATCTAAAATGTTCTTTTAAAAAATATCTAAAGCATGGTTATTTAGTTAAATAAGAATTATTGCAGCCATTATTTGGTCTCCTCTATTCCACATGTCCTTAGATTTCATTTGACTATAATATTTAGTCACAACCTAAGGTTTGCCTGTATTTTTTTTTAATATAAGAGGAGAGATTTGAACTACTGTACTTGATTTATAATTTTGCTTTAAATAATACTTAAAAAATGCTGAAAGAATTTTATTATACTACACATCAGAATTAAATCATAGTGGCATAATAGAAAAACCAATAAGTTATGTATCATGAACATGGGGCAAACACAGTCCTGAAACAAATAAGGAATAATCCAAGAAAATTTAATTAAATGTTAAAATGATGATAAAGCCCCTGGGAATGATAAAACATTAGGGAGGTGAGAAAGGTCTGTGAAAGTAAATGTTCCTGCACTTTGTGTTAAAAGGATGGTTATGATTTCGATAAGAATCATGAAAAAGGACAATCTTGGTATATGAAGAGGAGAAGGATGAATGAAGCACAGAGTGGGAAATAACCCCAGAGATCCCTTGGGAGGTGAAGACTATGTGGCCAGGGCAGGGAAAAATAGTGGCTTCAATGATTCTTATATAACTAAATAAGCATGCTTTAGATATTTTTATAAATGGTATTGAACAGAGCAAACTCTCTCTTTGAAACTCTATCAGATCGTCTTGAGTGCACTGAAGATCTCAACAACCATGATGATAGACAGAATGCCTATCAAGGAAGCCTTGTAATTGTACATGATGGGAAGTTCTTGAGTTCAGCAAAATATAAATTGGGGGATTATAGCTTTGCATATAATCTCTTTCGTCATTTCGTGTTCTTCTCCCTACATCCAGTGCCCAGAGTAATCTTGGCATAGAACATGTTTCTAATAAATCTTTGCATGCAAAAGGAATACATGAATTTACAGAGAATAAAGTTAATGTAGGGGAAAGTGGAGCCAAGAGAGGGAGAGACAGAAACTCTGAGTTTGTTTTTTCTTGGTAAATAAGAAATAGTAATACCTTACTGGATAGGAGTATTGTGAGGATGAAATGAGATCACATATGTGAACACTAGAAAGTGCCTGATGCTCCACGGATGCTCACTAAACAGCAGTAGCTTCTCTCCCTCCCTTATTTATCATATCAGGAAGATCTAGGTTCTCTTTCTGGTTCCTTTTAATCCTTCAGGTCTTGCTGTATTGAAGCCAATGAGTTACAGCCTTATCTGCATATTGGATTCACTGAGGAGCTTCAGAAAATCCCAATGCCAGGCCACACTTCAGACCAAATGCATCAGATTTTCTGAGGGTGGGGCCCAGCCATCAGCATTTTCTAAGTTCTCAAGGGGCTGATCTATCTGCTGAGGTCAATGGGA